ACTGCCAAACTGTGGAACACCCTCTCACTTGTCGTTTTTCCCCCAACTTATAACCTTACACTTTTTAAACGCACAATCAATAGACTGGATCTTACGTGAATTTTCTCCTTCTCTTCGTTTTAAAGCATGCTCTTTGTCCATTGGGATTTCACTTTGTACTGTAATTCACGTTGTAACAAAAAAAGGTTTTGCAGGATATCTCCGTCTTCAACGTAAAGAGACAACAAATTTCTGATGTACTAGAGTTCAGGTGACACAAAACCCGCCAACCGGATTCGTAAAGAAAACTCACGTTCTGGAAATTTTGACCGCACAATTTATCTTAATGATAAATCATTTTTTGCAGTCCCATGTGCAATGAGCAACAAAAGGGATAAACGCTATAACTACGGGGATTTATTGTTCCCTCATTAGAACCGGTAACCTAAGCATTTGGACTGCAAGTGACCCAGTCAAATAGGTGTGGTATTGAAAGTGGACCATCGCGATGCTGCCTACCACCATTCTTCTTCTTTGTTCCGAAACTTGTTTATGCTCACTTTTTATCACACGATTGTGGAGAGAATAAATCCCGCATCAGTATGTGCGGGGTGGAATAGTCATGTTAAAACGAGTTTCCGGGTTGTGTCTGCGATATGAATGGTGTAATCAAGGAAACTGTAAGTAGAGGAATAACGTTTTACAGCTTACCGGTTCTCCGAACACGAGAGATAACCTAGAACAAGAAATGCTACGGTCGGAGGCGATAGTAAGACAGTGGTCCGATACTCGACGAGGATGAGATGGAGCAACTTGTGAGTGCTGAGAAGAGTTGAGGGTCAGCAAAAGATCAGGAATGTGCGTGCATTCATCGGAACTATCCGGAACCTGAGTGAGAAGCCAGATGAACTGGGGCAAATTGTTTATACCGTAAGTTTCAATCTCTCGAGCCACTCGGTGTTCCGCACGTTGAGGTCATCAACAAAGTCGACGTTGAAACTGGAGTAATTTGCTACAATGTGGTCTAAAGCGCAGGTTAAATAGGAAGCGATATCGAATGGGATTGCGCAAGCAATCACTAAAAGATGAGAGTACGATTTCAGTCCACATGAGTGAAAATTAACAGCTTTAGATATCAAAGGGAGAAGTTCTAAGGTGCCGATGAATTCTTCTGATGAATGTAACAATCTCTGTTTTAGAGGATAATACTTAGTAATGGGAATAGTTGAGGTAAATTAGATAGCCAGTGTTTGTGGATAGGGGGAATATCTGAGCTTCAGCATGAGATGAAGAATGGAAGAAACGGTGAGCAGAATGGATAATCCGGTTGAAGCAATCTTGGTTTTCTGAGTGTGAATGTGACTGTCTCCTTAATACATGTTTCATAGTTTAAATGACGGAGGCCAAGGAAACTTGAAACGATGAATCACATAAACGTTTTAAGATAGATGGTGGTACTTTCTCCGGGTGACAGCGGATGCTCTTACGATCGGTTCTCTATTCAATAGGATTGTATTTTTGCAAATTAACTCAGAAATTGTTTTTCTTTTCTTCACCGATTCACTTTTACTTTCATCATAGTATTCAACCGAAAATTGCTGAGATCTGAGTTTTAACTGTACTTTTGCGCTTCCAGCACAATGCGCCTGCTAATTTTGGATACGCCACAGGATGTTGCCGAATGGGCAGCAAAATATGTAATGAAACGCATCCTGGATTTCGCCCCGAGCGAGGAACGTTATTTTGTCCTCGGTCTTCCAACTGGTTCCACACCTTTGGCCATGTATAAACGACTTGTGGAATTCCACAAGGCCGGCAAACTGAGCTTTCGTTATGTGAAGACATTCAACATGGATGAGTACGTTGGCCTACCGCGAGATCACCCGCAATCGTACCATTATTACATGTACCATAATTTCTTCAAGGTGAGAAATCGCTTCACATTTTGTCCGAGCGATTAGTTCATCAGTTCTCCATACAACATCGGAGTTTATTTATGGATCATCCCAGCTCAGTTTCTGTTCATTTTCCCATCAGTTTCAAGATATATATTTATCATTTACTAGCCAAATACAGCACAAAATCACATAATTCAAGGGAACAGAAAAAGCCGTAGATAATGTCTGTGTGAATACTATGGATAATACAGTGAGGGGTGTATGAGAGTTCAAATCATTCTGTAAATGTAATGTATACTGTGGAATGAATCAAATACATAATCGATTTGACACTCCTTTGATAACCGGCTTTATGTCACTAGCGTTTATGGCTGGCCATGGTAAATCCCGACCTCTGACTGACTGTTTTTGAACACCGAATCGCGATCGCTTCGGATGTTGACAGTTAGCGATGCTGGACCTACTTTGATCTCACCCCGGTGATCGTTTAGACGGGTCTGACCCCTTCACTCATTCTGACACGATGTTCGACTTCGACCAAATGAGCCGTGATCGCCGTCTCTCCGGGTCTTGTCAATCCGCGACTAAGCCAGCCGGGGTGGTGTTCTCGAATGCCTTCGACCAAGTGGCGGGTGGTACGATCAATGTAGGTGGTTCCACAGGAGCACACAAATTGGTAAATGCAGAATGAGGTCATTTGCACCGGTATCTTGTCTTTTATCTGCAATGAGAAAACTGGTTTGGAAGTGTAAATTATGCGTAAATCAGCGGTATAATATGTATTTCCGACAGCAGCCCGGAGACGCCTACTCATCATTTCAGATAATGTGTCACCTTTGAAGGGAATTGATAAGTAAACTGGTTTCATTTTAGCCGTCATCTCAGGTTGCACTTTATGGTGACCTTCATACATTGTTGAATGATCTTATCGGGATATCGATTTTCTAAGAAAATCGTTCCAATTTTTCTCAGTTTTTCCTCGCATGTATCAGGTGAACATATTCGTCTTGTCCTGTTCACCTGATACATGCCAGGAACTGAGAAAAATGAGAACGATTTTCTTAGAAAATGGACATCCAGATAAGATCATTCAACAGTGTATGAAGCGAAATTGTGCCAAATTGACTTCTTGATGCAGTCCATTGGTATTTCTCAATATATATTTATATTCAACACGTAACCGATTACGTAGAATTCGTCAATGTGCCACAACGTATGAATGTGTGAAAAGGGGTTAAATAAGAATCAACCAATAAGAGTCTCACAACAAATGCGCCATTGACGCCGATTACCTATCGTATCTGCTGGTGTCTCAAGCCATAGATGTTCGCTGTCCTTGGGACCCCAGCCTGGGAGTCTAGAGCGTCCCACCAGTACCAGTTTTGAGGTTAATGCCTTCAACGTTCGAGCGCAGATTATTCGTTATCCACCTTGTCGCCGCTTCCAGTTAGTGTCTACTTGCGCAAACATGTTGCGATGGGGCAGTCGTTGAGCCGGCATCCACAACACATGCCCTAGCTATCGAAGTCTCTGGAGCGAGACGACGACACTTAGAGGACGACTGAGATTGCTTGAGGCGAAGATTCTTCGGTGAACCTCGTCGTAGGTGATTCTGGCGATGCAACGAAGTCAAAGGTGGTCCAAGACACTTGATCTCCTTACGTCTTCTGGGTAGAGGGGCCAACGCTGACAGCCGTAGAGTAAGACAGTGCGTACTGCGGCATAAACGCGGCCTTTTAAGGAAAGACTGAGATCGCGTCGGCGCCACAGGTGACGTAGGTTAGCGAAAGCCACTTGAGCCTTGTGGATACGCGCTGATATTTCTTCTGTCGGTCCTTTTGAGCTGAAACAACTCCCGAGATAAGTAGTCATCGACGATTTCCTACTGCTCGTTCATGAGCGTCAGGACAGGTGTGGCCTCTTGTCAGTCTTGTAGTAAGACTGCATTTCGCTGGTGAAAAGATCATACCAAAATGATTGACGAACAATACTAACTTACACAGGACNACGTTTCAAGCGTCTTAGGAGGAGTCGCAGAGTATAACGATGTCCTCAGCGTATTCCAAGACTCAAGAGCAAAGTTAGGACTCCTTTTCTCTGCTTCATGAAAAATTGTATTTGCGCATCCCATACCAGACGTTAAAAGAAAGAAATTTATGCAGAAACTGTAACATTGCAATTGGAACGGAAATCAAAGCATAATTACCGGTCGTGACAAAAGAAATAGGGTGAACTTTCTTATTACACACCGGTGTATGATGGACAGTAGACGGGGTGGAACCCCATAGTCACCAGGACCTGCTGTTCAGTGATGGTAACCAGCAACCTAAGCCCCGGGGCTTGGAGTGGCGAACTACATGGGGCCCCGCTAGGCCAGGCGTTGTATAGCATCGGGCGACAAAAAAGTTCTCTACCACTAAAGTTGGTAGGTGGTGATGGGGCTCGAACCTCAGACCATAGTGCTTGAAGCACACCGTTTGAGCTGAATATTAGTTCCGAGATGAACACATCGCACAAGGCGTCGTCTCGATGTACTTCAGCAGTGACAGCTTGCTACTTACAATCTCGAACAAGTGATCACAGTCTTTGCAGAAACTGACCTGTTGTTTTTTCGACGAATACCGGACAAGCGTGGATTTGAGAATCGGTGAGGTGGTCTCATAGACGAAACAATTTGTCGCATGACAAAAAAGCCGAAACGTCAAGAGAATTTATTATAGTTTTCCAACTATCTGGTTGTAGATATTCGATCGATTGGAGGATATTAATGAAAGTACAGTGCCAATAGATTTACTTACTTTACTTCACTGGCTTCTTGGAAAGGACAAGCCGGTCTAGACATAATCATGATCATGAAGTTCCTTGGGAGTTTGATGCGAGAGACGTTCCCAACGTCACTTGGCGTTTTTTACTTTGAGGGTGCACTTCTAGCCTTTGCACAACCAATTGCGAACTGCAAGGCAATAGGAAGTAATCTCTCGCCTTGGAAGTGACGGGGTCAGTGACTTTATTTTTAAAAGGATAGTCACATCGACCTTTGTCACGACACCGTCATTGTGCTTATGCGGCTTTTAAACAGGAACCAGGTGACCAGCCTAAAACCCACCACACCGTGGTAGTGCCACCGCTGTTTGTTCACGACTGCTTGTTTGTTGCGGTATGCCACAACTTCACAGCTAACTTCAGTAAAGGTATCCCCCTATCCACAACCCGGGGAGGCTCCTGGTAGCATTCAGCTTTGCTTAAGCCCAGGGTATCCAGGATTCGGCAGGTCCTGTGCAGTTTGAATCAGCGTCAAAACGTTTTGAGCGGAGAAATCGGTCTATGGATTATAGGATGAGTAGATTGTGGAGAATCTTCGTTTAATTCGCTAGCTGACTTGAGGAACAAAAGAAGCCTGTTTACAAGGGCTTACTAATCTGCTTAGCGAACGATTGTCTATAAAGTAGAATAGACGAAGTTAGTAGAGGCAATAAACGTAGTGGGAATTTCGTAATTGCTAGCAACATTCCTCTGCATAACCTAAGGTTCTTTGGAATCCCACGGAAAATCTCTTAGTTTGGCTTGGACAGTTTGCTAGTACTACCGATGCTCACGAGCATATTGTGGTTTGAATAATTTATATATCATAAAAACGTTTTTACTATGATTTGTTTAATACCGTACGGACCTGGACAAATGTTATAATTGTAATAT